CTCTCTCTCTCTCTCTCTCTCTCTCTTTCTTTCTTTCTTAAATGTATAAGGCTGCCCACTCAGCACGTGACTCTTCACACTGCTAGGACCAAGGCAGCCAATTTCTAATCTGACATGATATACATGAAATAAGCATGAATATTTATTTATAACCAGATGACTTATGAACTTTAGGACTGAAAAAAAAGAAAACTAAAGAATAAGAACAATGTGAGAAATTAAAACATTTCAGACATTTGCAATAAAAGGAGGATTTTTTTTTTTTTTAGAGGTCCACATTTCTTTGGAGGGGACCTCTGGGTGGGAAGCCGTCCCTTTTCTCCTCCCTTTCAAGGGCTATGTGAAATGGAGGGGAGCGGAGGGGCGCTTGTGGCACTGAGGCCTACGTTGTTTGCTCCATGGCCAGAAAATGCTGACTGCAAGCTGCAGTCAGCCAAACTTTCTATTACAGCTCATAGGAAATGTTCGGCTACAGAAAAATACCACTGAAGCAGGATTATTTTCACATCATTATTTGTCTTTGGGACATCAAGAGATCTGGAAACGTATTCTCGGTGGAACCCAGGTGTGTTCCTCTTAATGTATAATCCGCACTGGGGAGCTCTGAAAACTTAACAGCAAGACTAATTGTTTTCTCAAGTAGTGAGAAGCAGGAAAAGGTGTTTGAAATGTGACAGGAATTTTTAATTAATTATGTTTAAGTAAATGCTTTGCTCTGGAGAAGGCAGAGCCAAAGACAAAAAGGGTGGGCTCTCAAAGGAGGGGGAGAAGCAGGAAGGAAATTCCACTGGGGCCCCACTTCCCACCTAAAGAGGACCTAACCCTTTCCTGTCAGCTCCAGAGACTGTAAAAATCTGCTTTGCTTCAGCAGCGTGGAATCTACGGCGTTGGCAAACAGCTCCTCCAAAGCAGAGTCTTCAGAATCTGTTGCAACGTCCCCCAAAGCTATTTCGAGAACAGTGATCCTCAAGAGCACTTCATGCCACTGACATTTTTTCCACGGATATTTTCCAAAGAGATGGGTTAAAATAATTTGGGTGACCCCCACGGTGTAAAAGGGTATTTTATATCAGGGATATTGGAGGGTAATGTGCAGTTTTCGAAGAACAACGGTGTCCTCTTCAGAGACCCTTTGTTTCTGCCTGCCCCTCTGCCAAATCTTTTCACACAGTGGGGTCACACCAATTATTTCAACCCGCCTCTTCCCACCCCGCAAAGCCCTGTACCTTTTTTCTGAGTCCACAGTCTGTTTTGGCCGGTTTCTTGTGCTTGCTGGGGTGGCGTGATTCAGAAGCCTAAAAGCAACAGAAACGCGCCTGAGTGACCGGCAGGCTCCCGTCAGCAGCACGTGCTGTGTCCGCTCTGGTCTTATTCTGCCTCTTCCAAGCTCAGCATCGACAGCCTCATCTGTCTGTCGACTGCTCCTGTCCCCTCTCTCTGGAGAGCCTCGAGAAGCCCAGGCAGGCAGTCCTGCCACTCCCCTGCCTGGCTTTGAACCCCACGGACACCTGTTGCTCTGAGGGGAGGCGGCAGGGGACAGTCCCTGGAGGAGTCCGTTTGGGCAAGGCGCCGGAGGAGGAGGGAGGGCGAAGCCGTGAGCGGAAGGAATAGCAAGGAAAAACAGCGTGGAATAAGGAGCGTGACAGGAAAGGCGGAGAGGAATAGCAAGCAGGCCATAGCGCCCTCAACTAGGGTCGTCTGAACAGAATCCCACCCTCTTAAGGGGAGAAGGGGGGACCGGGGCTGTCTTAGCTTCCCCGGGTCTCAAGGGACAAAGGGCAGGGTGTTCCCCAGCTGATGAACAGGCCCAGGGGAGGTTTGCTGACCCCCATGTCTGTACAGGAATAGTTCCTTTTTCTTTAAGTACTGCCAAAGCACGGGAACCGCATTAATTTATCCCTGAAACAGCATCTTCAGAGTCTGGAACTGAGTTTCCAGGTAACAGCTCGAGAGAAACTTGCTTTGCAATTTGGGTTGCAGATCCCTTAATACATTCTCAGCAGTGGGTATTTTTCCAAGCACAGTGTAACTGGGGACTCCCTGAAGCAGGGATGTCTGCAGGTGGGGTCCAGAAAGGCAAGATGGCGGCTGCGATGGGGCAATGGAAGCCCCACCTGACGCACATAAAAAACGGGCAGAGCTTCGACCCCACCATCGTGGCTGCCATCTTGACTTCTTTTTTCACCATACCCTGAGGACCCCCCTGCCCCGAAATCCCATTTCTATGAAGGAGGCAGATAAATTAAATAAACAAACAAACAAACAAACAAACAAACAAACAAACAAACAAACAAACAAACAAACAAACAAACAAACAAACAAACAAACAAACAAACAAACAAACAAACAAACAAACAAACAAACAAACAAACAAACAAACAAACAAACAAACAAACAAACAAACAAACAAACAAACAAACAAACAAACAAACAAACAAACAAATAAATAAATAAGACGGCCATCAAGCTTCTTAGGGAAGCTTACAGCACCCAACATCCTGGCTAAGTTTTTCTTCAATTCCCCTCCTCAAACGTGTCTTCGCCATGAGGACACAAACGCTGGAGGAGGCTGGTGAGGTTGCTGTGGCTGGTCTCCCGCACTATCGTGTGACACCCCCAGGCCAGGGTCCCAAGTACCTGGATGCGCGTCCTGCCACCCTCGTCCTCTGGAAAAGCTTTTCACTGAATGAAGTTCTATAGCTTAAAGGCCTCCGTCTGAATTCGCATGCCATGTACCCCAAGGTGGAGGAAGGAAGCCATGAAGATTGACAGGAGAGCCGTTAGTAAAGTCAGTAGAAAAGAGAAAGAGGAGAGCTGTAACACGGTTAAGTCAGAGAAGGCAAAAGGTTTCACAGCCAGGCTGTGAAGTATAACCCTTTCAAGATGCAAGAACAGGAGAATTTTGAGGACGGGCTTTCGGTATGACTTTTAGCAGTTGCTTTAAAAGACCGAGGTATGTATTTTAAAAGATAGCAGTCAGGTTAGCCATAAACTAACTTTTTTTCTTTCAAATCCTCTCTCTCAGCTTCGACTGGTCTAGTTTTTACAGGCTATACGAGCAGCAGCCAGGGCTGGCTCTCGCCGAGCTCCCTGCTCCTGGTGGGACCCAGAAGCTTCATACCTGTTCTTCTGCTCCTGCTGCAAGAGCTGGGCCGCAATTTTCCGCAGGTCGGTCACGTCCTTCAGCTCATCTTCTTCTTCAGCCAACGCCTTTTCTTTCTGGATGCTAAAAAAAAGGAAAAAGGAACAAATGTTTCTCTTTGGATTAGGTACTTCTGCCAAACAGATCCCCAGCGCGAACGGTCACCACCAGTACTTCCCGTTTCTCATCCCCAAACCCCGATGGGGCACTGTGAGGGACCCACCTCTTCTCATCTCGCCAGTCTTCACGGGGTTCGCTCTTCTGAGGCTTCTCAGCCGGCTTCCCTCGTTCCTTACACATATATTGGGGGTAGAGGAAGGGAAAAAAGGGGTGCAAAAGTCACATTATGTAACTTTTAGAGCCAGAAAGCCTCCACTGCTCATTCGCTTCATATACTTTTAAGCTACGGCTACCTTAATGTAACAGATGGATGGTCCAGTTTGGGGATCTCCTTGGTCACAAGCTGCCACATCCTCTGAGCTGGGATCCAGGTAATCACACACATCAGGGTCTAATGATTAGGTAAAAAGGAAAGACGGGAACAGGCAGGAGAGGGGATAGATCTTGTTAGACTGAATGTATAAACGCGTCTATCTCTAAGGCTCTAGGCAAATACAGACATATTTCATTCATCTTCCAACTGCCTCCATGTGTAACAGCCCAACTTGGGACTGCTATAAAACCCCAAAGACAAACCCAACATGAGTAGAGACAAGCCCTCTACTCACTGCTTATACGCCACAGCGTGAACTCTTAAAGGTTCGACTCAAATCATCTGCGCAATGGCTTGGGAGCCTCAGAGATACCTAGTTTACCAGTTTCAGTTCAGATACCAAAGCGCTGTAAATTTGCACTACAATAACACATTTTGTCCAACTCTTTCTTCCCCTTGAACAGCCATAAGAAGATCAAACCATTCCTTTTTGCTTTTAAATTAGGCACGCTTTAACAAAGAACGACTGTTAGGTTAAGTGTGCAAAGGGCTTTTTCAGAGAAGAAAAAGGAGGGTTCAAGCAACTGTGATGGGGACAGCTGGCTACACTATAACTCAATTATAAGTTTCATTTCTCTTTAATTTCTGAACAGGGCTGCATTGGATGTATACATCTGAGGCTCTCTGAGGCCTGTTCCCATATTGCTAAGCCACCCCTAAATATGTCAGGATCGGCTGGGGAATGCTGGGAGTTGCAGCCTTAGCACATCTGGAGGGCATACAGCTGTGTTATGCTCTGACTTCCATTTGAAGCAGGGTAGAGCCTCCCGAAAGAACCCTGGGAGTCCCCAAAACCTAAACATCTGCTCGACCACCAGGGATGTAGGATCTTACCTTTGTGCAACTCAGGTTTGTTCCCTAGCAACTGATTGTCATTTCGGAGCGTCTGTTCCCTTGTTGATTCCGACACCTGAGAGTGAAGGCTGACTGTGTCATCATCAGATGGCTGGGGGGGGGGGGTAGAAAAAAAATTAAGAAAATAAAAAATGTATTGCATTTGTTTTTTTGATGAACGCTCATTATTAAACCATCT